GGGGTCGCCAGCGGAAATTGGCCGGCAGATGGAATTCAGAGGAGGCCTAATCTGTGGGATCTAATAGGTCTTTGGGAGGTAACTGGAAGGAGGCGATCTCTCAAGTACCCAGGTCCGATACCATGTAGGGCTTTAAAAGTAACGACTTCATGTTATTTTTATTCTCCAAATGTTATACTACAGCTGGAGTGCCCGTTCTTATACTCATAGAATGCTTCTTCATTGAGGTGCTCTGGTTCATTGAGGGTGAAACTTTATAGTAGTGGCATCCTAATGGCAATAAAGTTCAAATAGTATAAATCAGTGTTTCAGTTGCTGAGGTTGAGAAACACTGACATAGGTAATGGATAATCTTTGCATATTAGAGGAAGTTGCTATGAGACAGATTGGGTTATGGTTTTTTAAAATGTGCAATACAACAAGAATAGGTATATTGCTTCTTCTTGCTTCTATCACTTACAATCCAATAATGAGCCACAAATATCTAGACTCGGGCCCTCTTTTACAATGTATATCCTTAAAAAACCAAATCCACTAAAAAGCTATCTTTTTGATAGAAGACAGAGTCAGATTTCTAGCCTACAACTTCACCACACAACTAAATACAGCACTTGTGCTTAGCCATCCATATTCCTAGATCTGTTTATTAGGAAATGAATCCAGCTGGAACCTTATAAGTCAACTGAAGTGAAGCATCTGACTTCTCCTCCGAAAACCACTGAGCCAGAGAAGAAAGTGAGAGAAAGGAGAAACTGTGCTAGTTAGAAACTCCAATATATTTTCTACCCATTTGCCACATAGGTATTCTGATGGGTGCAATGCTAAAGCTATCCACCTGGAAGGAACATATCTTTCGCTCCAACTGCTGCAGGATCTCTCCATTAATGGAACTAATCAGGGCTCTTTTGGAAAGGCATTTGCTTAAACATATCAGCCTTGTAATTTGTTACTTGCTGAGGATGAACAAAAACACTTCAGGGTGGGATGCACAGTCAGGTCCAAGCAAAGCAGAATTAGTGCTTCACATTCTAACACAACCAAACTATGTGTCCTTTGAGAGCCTTCTCCGCAATTTGAATTCTCCTTTTTATAAATTCCCTGATTAAAATCCAAGGGCTGCAAATTCAGATAAGCTTTGATTTAAGAGGCCAATCTGCCAATTGGGAGACCAGCCAATGCTATAGGACAGGGGTGTCAAACTCAAGGCCCGCGCACCAGATCCGGCCCATGGGGTGCTTAGATCTGGCCCGTAGGGCTGCCCTGGAAACAGAAAAGGACTGGCTCACGGTCCTCTGCCAGCGTAAATGGAGTTTGGGAGGGCTGCTGGCAGAGGGTTGCAATAGGCCGTCGCAGCTGAAAACGGGGCTTGTGAGAGCTACTGGCAGCCCTCCAGAGCTCCATTTTCTCTGGCAGAGGGTTGCAGCCAAAAACGGGCCTCAGGAGCCCGTTTTCGCTTGCAGAGTGCTCGTGAAACCACAGATACTCCCGACACAAGTGACGTCAAGCTGGCCATGCTCACCCTGGCCATGCCCATCCTGGCCCCCAAGGGCAAAAAGAACCCTGATGCAGCCCTCAATGAAATTGAGTTTGACACCCCTGCTATAGGTGAGCAATGATTCTGATTCCGTGTCTCACTATCCAGCACACGTACATTACCAACATTAAAATACTTACCAGATCATCAACATCACCACCCTCTTCAGCAACTGGTGAAACTTCCATGGGCTTTTCGTTGGGAGCCAAAAACTACAAGTAAAATTTATTTGCATGTAATCAGCAACATATTTTTATTTATTTATATCCCACCTTATTTATTATTAAACAACCAAGGCAATGAACATATCTAACTCCTTCCTCCTCCTATTTTCCCAACAACAACCCCACCCTGCAATGTGTTATTAAAGATTAATTCCCCCTCTCCCTTATTAATAGCAACAACAACTTACAGAAAAGGAAGAAAAAAAATATGAATCAGGAATGTTAAAAGGTTTGGAAAAACAGATGTCACTCTTTTCCATAATATACTTCAATTAGAAAGTAAGATAGGCTCTTGATAATAAAGATGACACGCTTAAGTGCATTTTCTATAGAGCATCTTTCATTGAGTATGCAAACATACACACCGCACTCTACGTTACTCTTAGCTTCTTACTGTTACTAAAACATCTATTTATGAGCCACGTGACTTGTGAGCCATGGTGGCGCAGTGCAGTGGTGGGGTTTCCAATTTTTTCACTACCAGTTTGCTCGTGCACGTGCTCATGAAGCTTCTGCGCATGCGCAGAAGCGTCTGGGTGTAGTCTCCCGCCGCTGCCACTACTGGTTCGCCCGATCTGATCCGAATTGGCAGAAACCCACCTCTGGCGCAGTGGTTAGAGTGCAGCATTGCAGGCTACTTAGGCAGTATTGCAGGCTGCTCGCAATTTGGCAGTTCAAATCTCACTAGGCTCAAGGTTGTCTCATCCTTCCATCCTTCCAAGGTGAGTAAAATGAGGACCCAAATATGCTAATTCTGTAAACTGTTTAGCCAGGGCTGTAAAGCACTGTAAAGTGGTATATAAATCTAAGTGCTATTGCTATTTGGAAACTAGACAGAAAGACAAAACTAGACAAAACAGACTAGACTAGATAGAAGGACAAAAATGTAATAAGAAATTAAAGAATGAAAGAAATGCTTTAGGTTGTGTGAAGAATCTCCAGGAATAGAATATATCCAATAGAGATCATTGTCTCTGTATGAAATGGGTGACTCAAGGAAGCAAAGGCCTAAGATGGTCAAGACAAACTCTGGTCTCCTTCCACACTATCACACTCATGCACAACATTCCTGCTTTAACACCCCAAATAAAATTCATCCATCAAATGTAGAATTGGAGAATGTAAACAGTAGAAAACATAGTAAATATACTGTAAATATTAGAAACAGCAAATACCCTATCAAATGCTTGTATTAGACTAATGGTTACAAATTACAATTTTATTCTTAAAAGTTGTCATATGATACCAGTAAATTGCCCATCTACCACTTAATTCTACATCACAAAAAAAGATCAACAGTATTTGACTTCTGGATTTTTTTTTCTTTTTAGCACAAGCTTTGTTTTGATTCAATTTTCCAGTTAGAATACAAACAGAACATTAATTTAGCAGTATTACTTTTGGTGCTTTTAATTACCATCTACAGTATATGTGATGAATTGCATCCTACAGTGCCTTTTCACAGAGTGCAATAGAAACCACTGATGTCAGAGATTTCCACTTGTAGCCCTCGGTCATTTATTTGTAAAATTGCTGATATGAGAAAAAAAAACCATATCACTTGGAATGACTGTTATCAAAACAGAGAACAGATACAAATTACTTTGCCTTCACAGGAGAGGCAAATTTTAGCCCTAATCCAAAAAAACAAAAAGCAGAAAGAAATGAATAAGAATGTTACTGCCCTTAATGATATAGAGAGAGGTATCTCATTTGAAAGCAGGATACACACTTGGAATTGAGGTTGTGACCTTAACCTTACTTCTAAAAACACTGTTTAACAGAGATCTTGAATCTTCTTTCTTTATGTTCCAGTCTAGCTTGCAAAGAGAGAATTTTGGCAAGGGAACCCCTGAAGCAAATGTGCAATAGAAGTGGAACCAACAAAAGGGTACCTCACATTTCAAGAACGGGGCTAAGTCCTTACGATGTTGGATCTAACCTGATAGCTGATTTATTTGTATCAATATCCAATATCACTTCTATCTACAGAATCTAATATCTAATCTACAGGCACTCTATAGTCAAAAAAATGTTTACTTTTAAGGCTGATTCCACAGCCTTGTACAACAAAACAAACCCACAGAAAGAGTAAGAAAGATTGCACAGTTGTGACACAGCATGCCTAGATGCTCTTCTTTCTCTAACATTGTGGATGTAATGCAATTATTGTACAGGCAATGTTGAAGTAACAGCAAACTGTCAAATTTAAACACCTTTTTTGCACTGGAGCAAATCCCATTTTATAGTTAATTAAGGTAAAATGCTATTTTTGAAAACCACATATTTACTCCGAGGCCTCCAAAGTGGCAGCACAACACTAACTTAAATGTAAGCAATACATAACTGAAATGTGTTATGTGATGAGGATGAGAAATTGCTTAGCAATTATGTTAAACTTTTTTAAAATTTTGAATCAAAACCTACTAAGCATCAGCAGACTATTTTTTCCCCGCTTCCTGAAACGATCTGCATTACTTTGATACAAAATGAAATTACATATAATAATCATGTTGAAATCCTTCACTTTTAACAAGATAGGTGACCGAAAATGTTTGCCCCACCTCTCTTATCAACAGTGGAACACTTTCTGTATTTGCTCTTTTGAATATCTATCAGTTTCAATGAGAACTATCTTCTCAGTGAAAATGACTGAGAACTGATGTTGGGCATGAGTCACAGGACAAATTGTACCATATCAACTTTTTACAAATGGCTGCTTATTAGCACCATACATGTTTTGGAAATAATTCCAAAGCATGTATGGCTTCTGATGTTGTTGTTTCTATTGCTTTTGTTGTTCGGAAAAGCACTTTCGATGTTATCAGACTTTGCATGAGACAGTAAAAGGGTTGTCAGGCCTGCAGCTAGTTCCTTTTAGGATCTTTGGCCTGCCACACTCTCTATTATTTTGCTATGCTTTTTCATTAGTGGGGAATTAGGGGGGGGGATAGTAAGGAGTAGAATGTGTTGTTGTCAAAATAAAAAAATTCCTTTCTAGAAGCCCAAGGTCGTCTTTTGTCTCTACACCTCTGAGCCTGACCGGAACTGGATGGGTGGAACTGCCAGTGTGGCAGTGGAAGATTGGACCATGTGATGGACTTGTGAGTATGTGGGGGCATGAACTTTCAACTGGGTGGGAAACCCAGGAAGTTTTCAGATTTGGATTTTCCACAGATGTACCAACACTCTCTCTTAATAAATTGGAACTTTGTGGAAAGCTCTGCCTTGAACTCCGATTTAATTTTGAATGATATTTGGAATGCTGACAAGGGTATTGTTACTTGAAAAGTCACATCATTTCTTAAAACAGGGGTCTCCAATGCCTGGTTTGTGGATTGACACCAGTCCGTGGCATCCCAGAAACCAGGCCAGGCAAACAAGCAAAGCCCCATCCATAGGATAGAGGCCGCACATGAAACCACGCCCCCCCCTGTCCGTGGAAAAACCTCTCTTCACGGAACCAGTCCCTGGTGCCCAAAAGGTTGGGGACCACTGTCTTAAAGCATAAGCCTCTTGTTTTCAGGTACCCACAGAAATTTGAAAAACGTTGGTCTAGTTCAGGGGTCAGCAAACTGCGGCTCTGGAGCTGCATGTGGCTCTTTCCTCCCTCTGCTGTGGTTCCGTCACC